TTTTATTTAAATTAAAAAGTATCCCTATCTTCTAAAATATTTTTAGTTTTTAGTTTCATATTTAAAATTTATTTTGTTAATTAAATATAAATTATGTGTTAAAAGACTCCATTAGTTATTTTAGCCACATATAATATTTTATTTTTCCTTTTCTAATTTATCTTCTTCTTTTTTTATAGAATTAAAAAGTAGTCTTATCCTTCAAAAATATCTTCCAATTTTAAATATTTTTTATTTTTAATTTCAGAAATTTAAATTGATATTTTGAATTCAATATTTTCAAATATTTATGGTAAATCTCAGATGAAAAAGAGCACTTATCTTTCTCTATTTGTTTAAAATATTATCTGTAAAATATTTATTATTTTTAATGTTACCTTTAAAATATTTAAAATTCAAAATATTTTTACTATTTTAAAAATAAAAAATATTTATGTGTTGTTTACGGTAAAGTTTATTATTCAAATCATGTGTATTGTAATTTGTTGAAATCTTTGGAAAATTATGTGTAGTGGCCACTGGCAAGTATGTATGACAATAAGAGATCTTCCTTTGTTATAATTCTTTATGTCATTAACTGTGATATTCACACAATATTGAGCAAAAACTATCCATTTGTTATAGGGCCTTACAAATGGAGAGATTTATATAATCATTGATACAACCAAATATCATATTAGGTGCATGAAAGTGAAATGGAACATATCACTTTCATTGTCATAAATATAAATTACCATTAAAATATTTTTTAATCAATGTCGGTTTTTAAAATAGTTTTATTAATTAGATATAAATTTTGTTTTAAAAGACTTCATCATGAGTGGAGTATTTATTATAGCCACATATTTATAATTAGTTAGTTAATATTTTATTATTCCTTTTTTGATTTTATATTCTTCTTCTTCTTTTTTTTTGTTTAAAATTAAAAAGTATTTTCAAATATTTATGGTAAATCTCAGATGAAAAAGAGCACTTATCTTTCTCTATTTGTTTAAAATATTATCTGTAAAATATTTATTATTTTTAATGTTACCTTTAAAATATTTAAAATTCAAAATATTTTTACTATTTTAAAATTTTAAAATATTTATATGTTGTTTACAGTAAAGTTTATTATTCAAATCATCCGTATTGTAATTTGTTGAAATCTTTAGAAAATTATGTGTAGTGGCAACTGGCAAGTATGTATGACAATAAGAGATCTTCCTTTGTTATAATTCTTTATGTCATTAACTGTGACATTCACACAATATTGAGCAAAAACTATCCATTTGTTATAGGGCCTTACAAATGGAGAGGTTTATATAATCATTGATACAACCAAATATCATATTAGGTGCATGAAAGTGAAATGGAACATATCACTTTCATTGTCATAAATATAAATTACCATTAAAATATTTTTTAATCAATGTCGGTTTTTAAAATAGTTTTATTAATTAGATATAAATTTTGTTTTAAAAGACTTCATCATGAGTGGAGTATTTATTATAGCCACATATTTATAATTAGTTAGTTAATATTTTATTATTCCTTTTTTGATTTTATATTCTTCTTCTTCTTTTTTTTGTTTAAAATTTAAAAGTATTTTTTATCTTTTAAATAGATATATTCAGTTTTAAATATTTCATATTTTAAATTAATAGTAGGGGTGTACATGGTCGGGTTGGTTCGGGTTTTTCAAATATCAAATCAAACCATTTGTGTCGGATTTTTAAATTTATAAACCAAACCAAACCAATAAAACTCGGATTTTTCAACCTCGGGTTTTTTCGGGTTTTTCGGGTTATTTCGGGTTTTTCCGGTAAAGTATTCATACAAACATATAATATACTTGTACTTCAAATATTTCTTTAGTCCTACCAAAATACAACTATCTAAGATGTTTCTTAAAAATATAACACAATATAATATGATAATGACACTAAAATATCCAACAAAAATAATAATAATAATGAAATCGCGTAAAACAAATATTGCAAATTAACAAGTCATAATGAAAATTATCATAATTTAAAAGTACTAAATCATGCTAAAATTAAGTTTAATAAGTATTAGTTACATGACTAAATATTAAAGAAAATTAAAATTAGATTATATATTTTAATTGTCTAAACCAATGTAAAACTAGAACAAATATTCAATATTATTGTCATTCTTAGTGTTGAATTAATTTTCTTTTTGCATTAGTATTAATTTGATTTTGATTTAAGCTTTATTAAAATTACCAACATCTATGGACTATAATCTTTATTGGCTCATTCATAATTCTAAGTTTTAAACTTGAAATAATATATTAAAAGATAAAAACTATGGAAAAGTATAAGAAATATTTAAAAATTATATCAAAGTAAATATTTTTATGTATAAAATAAAATTTTAAAATTATATATATAAATTCGGGTTGGTTTGGTCTCGGGTTGGTTTTTTTTAGTTAAAACCAAACCAATTCAAATATAGTCGGGTTTTTTTTTTCAAAACCAAACCAAGTCAAACCAAACCACTAGTCGGGTTGACTCGGTTTGCGGTTTGGTTCGGTTTTCGGTTCGGTTTTGTACACCCCTAATTAATAGTTTAATTCAATATAATAATGATTCAATTTTATGATAAATCTCAGATAAAAAAAGAACTTACCTATAAATCCCTTATTGTAGATTCATTTTAATATTAAAAATAAAATATAATAATGATTCAATTTCTATCTCCCGAATATCAACAATAATTCATAAGCCATAAATTTTGCTTAAATGAATTATTTTATTGCAAATTGCAATGTTAATGACATAAATCAGACATTCAATAAAAAAATAAATGACATATTTTTCCTCCTTTGTAAATCATCTGCAATGAAATGAGGAAAAATACGAAAGAAAGTTCATAAGCCATAAATTATGCTTAAAATGAATTAATTTAATCAATTTGGTTCAATTTTTGATTCAGATAAAATATATCTAAGATCTCCATATACAACATATTTTCTTGATAAAAAAAGAAAACAATAAAGAAATAAATACTTTAAAAACTGGTCAATATTGTCAATCTTACACTCTTGGCTTGGCAATAAGTAAATTGGAAGTTGATCTTTGAAGATTAGGTTGAACTAAAGTTTCATCATAATGGCCTGAAATGCAGAAATTGGCATGATCATCCGGCTCCCAACAAACAATAAGGCTTTGGATTTTTGTTTGAATGTGATTTTTGTTTTACACATTTTTGATGAATTGGTTTAAAAAGGTGTGGATGATGTAGTTTAAGTAGTATAAAAAAAAAAGTAGTATTTTTTTTTAAAGATGTGGGTTAGGAAGTTTTGACGTTTTTTAAGGGATAAGATTAGTTAATATTTGAAATTCAAATTTGAAATTGATTATTTAATGGATGTGGGTTCTTTTCATTTTAATTTTTTTGGATTGGAAGTTTTTTCTTTATATTATTAACTAAGGTGTGTTATATGGCTATAATTTAATATAAAATGAAAAAAAAACACAACCCCATTTAACGTAATCAGATCCACAATTTTAATTTATTTTTATAATTTTTTTGATAATCAGTTTTTAAGTTTTTATTTTTTGATTATTAATTTAAAATAAATTTATAAAAAAATAAAAAAGAAACTACCCCATTAAAAAATTAAAAAATCACTCATTTCACCTACGAATATCCACAATTTTAAACCTTTTTTTCTTTTTAATAATCAGTTTTTAAATAAAAATTTAGTTGGTTACTTCTTCTTTCTTTTTTTTGTTAATTTTAAATATAAATATTAATTATTTTTTTTAAATTACTGAATTTTTGTGGTGCTGACACGTGACACTTTTTTCTTCTCCTATTATATATAGATAGATTGTGACTCAGATTGAGAAGTTTGCTCTGATTCAAGGAATTCGGTCAGTATGAATGGCAGTCACATTAGTTGGAAGTCTAAGAAACATGCAACAATGTCTTTAACTTCTGCAAAAGCAAAATACATAGCTGTGAGACAAGTGGTAGGTGAACTATTATGGATTGAAAGATTGTTTGATGAGTCGACAGTGAAAAGCTCTTTGCCTATACATGTCTTTTGTGATAGTCAGGCAATAATACTCATTGCTAAAAACTCAGTCTTTCATGAAATAACTAAATATGCAGAGATAGACTGTCATTTCATTAAGACCAAGCTTCAACAGGGAATGATCACACTCCATCACATTGCCATAGATTCTCAATTGACAGATGTTTTCACCAAGGCCTTGGCTAAAGTCAATCATGCTACACTTTTAAGCAAGTTGTCTATGTCTAGCTCACCTCCAACTTGGGGGGAGGGGGGGTTGATGAGATTATGATTACAGATTATTAGATAGCACATAGTTAACTAGAATTAGAGTTCAAAAAGTTGGTTAGAATTAGTCGATTAAGTTTGTTAGTGTGTCAGAGTCAAGTTGGCAAGTCAATATATATATATACAACACCTTGTAATGATTATTCAATTTTACATTCAATAATACATTGTCCTTTTCTCTCCGAATGCTCCTCCCGTAAGCTCAAACCTCCATCAATAGAGGAAAGCTATTGCTTTCTTACCTTATGATGTTAGTTTCATCAGATTCGTGCGTGGGCATGCACTATTTTAACAATTAGTTCAACTTCAAAATTTTCTTATAATTATAATAGTACAAATATCTACGACTTATTTTAGGTCATACATTTTAAAAGTCATACTTTCATTCTTAAACTTCTAATATAAAAAATGATAATTTAGGAAGAGTGTTTATGTTTATCAAATTGAGACGTAAAAAATATCATGAATAAAAATAGACAATGTTGCATTGCAATTTATAAGTCAACCACAACCATTATTATTAATATTATTATTATATCGAATAGGAGTACATATAAATAATCAAAATATAAGAATATAAGCGTCATAGACCAAATAACTAAAACGATAGAAAAATAATAATTCAAGAAGGCAAATCAAATAAAGGAAAAAGAGAGAAAGTTATGAAGAGCTAATTGGGCCTAGTTAAATTAATTTATGAAGGAACAACGCTTCCTAATTTCACCAGCTTTGCCAGTTAAAACTCCAATCCTTCCCATTTTCTCCATTGATTCAGCAAAATCTTTGAAAAACGTTGATCCATGGGACATAGCTTGTAATTTGACGTAAGCTTTAGTCTCATTGTCATCGAGAAGGGCGGCATCAGATTGGAAAAGCCCTCTCCTTTTTGCCACAAGACTATAATAACTTCCATCAAATATCTTGAAACTTCCTGGATCCATCTCAACTATGGTTTTCACGTCGTTAATTGAGGTGCATTTACTCTTCAATTGAGCAACATAGTTAGCATCCATAGTTGGGTCAGTGTCACCTTTGCCTGTGAAGTTGTATATTCGACTTGTGAAGGAAGAGCAATGAGAATTTCCAATGGTATGCCCTCCTGAACAATGACGGTCTAATGTGAGTTACCTTCAATTATAGGTTCCACAGTAAAACTGTATAATATTCTTAGATAGTAAAAAATTAGTCCATGATTATGACTAGCTCTCGACGAGTTGTGCTAAGCATATTTTCATAGTAGGTCAATTTCGACCCAAACTCAATTCAACCTATTTAAAATTTTAGTTGATTTAAACTAATTATATAGCCAACTCTCGATGAGTTGACCTGAATATATATATTCAATGCAGTCCCTCCGATCCATTGACACCCCTAAACATTTTATAAATGAATATCATTATGGGAAAAACTATAATGTAAAGAGTAAGGTGTTTTACTACTCTAGATATGTTCCACATTTTTGTAGTGAAAAATAAAAGTAAAAGAAAGAATACCAAACAATTAAGACTGATAGAAATATGATTTGAAATCAGAATAGTGGCAAAAAAAACCTTCAAAATCATGACTTGTCCAACCCGTTTAATCATTGACTTAATGTATTTTAATCTGCTTAATTCATCTCATTTATAATTTACATTGATAGGCAATCCAAATCAATTTACGAGAAATTTGAATTTATCTAAATGTTTTAAAAGAAATTTAAATATTATATTATGTTATATATATTGAAATATAAGGAAATTGTTTTCTTAGATGCATAAACAAATTATAAGAAAACAAACAAATAATTTCAAACTAAGAGTTGACTAAATTGCATTCTGATCTGATTTTTAATCTACTATACAACCTGTTAAAATTCAGTTCAACCCGTCCAATTAACACCCCTAATATATATTACCTGATAGAACAACTAGGTCTTTTGCATTGAGACCAACAGAGGCAAACTGAGCTTTAAGAGTAGTAATATTGGCAAAAGGAGGTGGTAAATTGAAAAGGGCTTCCAACATGATTGACACTTTTCCATCTCTTCTTCCCAAAGGAACATTCCAATATGGTCCTTTAATCTATAAAATAAGCAAAACCATAATTAATGTAAAAATTAACAATAATTGTTTTTCTTCTTAATTATTTACATAATTAATTAATTAATCTCTAATTAATAATTACCAATGATATTGCATCCCTTGCAACTAAAGCAAGAATATCAGCACAAGAAACCACCCCAGGACACTTTTGTTCTAATTCAGATTTGGCAGCTTCAATTACTTGGAATCCTCTAAGGGATTGATTTGGAATTGCATCTATCTCTGCTAGATTGTTCTTTGTTGAGTTTAGCAATACAGATCCATCACATCCCTGTACAAACCAATTTTATGAGTCGACGTCAGAAGTATGAAAAAGATGAAGTGATTATTAAAAAGTTAATGTGTGCGGGCACACAAAGACATTGTATGTATACACTATAGGTGGGTAATTACAAGAAAATCTCTATGATAAGTATTAACATGTAACCTAATAACATGGTAATTAAAAATCACCATTTTCCACTGGAAATTATTAGTGAGACAAAAAACAATAGTAATGTTTCCATGCAAAAAAATTTAGGAAGTTTTCTACTATGTCAAGAATCTGTTTCACACCATGTATTTTCCTAGTGAGCTGGTTAGGTGGAAAATCATGTGATGTAGCACAAATTTTCCACTAATTCGCTATGAGAAAAAACGCATTGTTTCTAGTAGTAGTTATACTTATTCCTAATAGGATATGGAGATGGAAATGAAAATAAAATAAATCAAATTTAATTACGTACCCTAATAAAGCAATCATGGAAGTGCATCCTAAGAAGAGGAGCAGCTAGAGTTGGTGCTCTAGAGATGTAATGTGAAGTTGTCTTTTCCACAATAGCCTCAGCTCCTGGACATGTTTTCTCATAATAGCCAAGTTTCAAGCCTTGTGCATTACAAATAGGAATTATTGCAAGCATCAAGAAGAAAATTAGCCTTGGGAAAGCCATAATTGTTGAAAATTGAAACACACAAATTGTAGTATTTTCTTTTCTTGATTTGGTGGTCTTGTTATGAGACACATATTGGTTATTTATAATATACTAATTAGATATGAAGTACTACCATGCATGATTTGAACTTTTTCCATGCAAGAGCTGGCTTTAAACAAGTTGGCTAGTGATAGAATTAAATACTTTATGATGTGAATATAATGGAGTACTAATAGAGTTGACTTTAATTAAACTATACATGACTTTTAATAAAATTATTGCATGTCATTACCATATTCATATGAATATATATACATTTCCTTGTCATTTGTTAAGCAAAAGGATTTTTGTAGTAGTGTAGGTAAATGCATCAATCTAATGAATGGTTGACCTTTAATTGCATGTTACTAGCATACAAGGAATCTTCATATAATTTCTCAATACTTACCCTGCCTTCTTTAATAAATTTAATCACTTTCTCTCATCCAATTTATATTATACACCTTCTTTTTCCGTCTATCCAAAAAATAATGATATATTTTTATATTTAGTAACAATTTAATTTTAAAATATCCATTTTATCTTTAATGAGATGATTCATAGTTACATAAATATCTATGATTCATTTTAGACCATATATTTCAAAAGTCTTTTTTTTCCTTTTTAAACTACTTATCTAGTCAAACTACATCATATAAATTGAGACGAAGCAAAAATATATATAGAGACCACATATTTCAAAAGTCTTTTTTTTTTTTTTTGTAAACTATGTGCCTAGTCAAACTACATCATATAAATTGGGACGGAGCAGTGGCGTAGCCACAACCACCCAGGGTGTCCAATTCGTCGGAAAATTACGTTGTATTTATATGTCAAATTCTACATTTAAAGGATATATATTTAAAGTTGGACACCCTTAACAAAAGCTATGCCTTCGGCGTAGTAGTAATGAGTGTCCATTTGAAAGAAGGAGTTTTGGGTTCAAACCCCAAATATCACAATATTTATTTATTTATTTTATTTTAATAGCCACACACCATTATTCTTGAACACACTTAATAAAATTTCTGGCTCCACCCCTGGGACGGAAAATATATATATATATTATTGTATTAATCATGCATGCATTTTGATAAGGTTGTTCTCTACTCGGAGGAATCTTACTGCTTGATCTGACCGAGTAAAATCATGCCAATATAATATATATAAACAACTTATCTGTCCATGTTCCACGAATTAGGTAGTTTTATGGATAAGATGGGAGATTTTGAAGCTGAGATATGGGCAAAGTGCGTAAATATTTGTTTTTGGGACAGTCATTAATTTAATTTTATCGAAGTTAAAAACATTAAGGCTTTGGGAAATTTTTTAAACATATGTCATTAAAGTTGAAAATTTTAGATATGACTTTAGATATTCTTGTCTGAACCTTATGAACACTAAATATCGAACATTTTAATTACCTGAAGTTTCAAAGGCCAAACATTTTTCTAATAAACTTATGAACTTGACAAGGTTTTATATATTCAATGAAAGTTTTGAAGTATTTGATTAAGATATGATGGAATATATAAATTTGGCAAGGTCTAATTTCAGATATTTTTATTAAAGATATGGCCTTGGCAGGGTTCAATTTCAAACATTTTCGTATGAGATCAGTGCATTATTTTGTTATTTCAAGCATTTTTGTATGACGTTCAAGTAAACAAATTTTTGTCCAACTAATAATTTGTTTGTCGGATTTTTATCATTAAGCACATTATTCAATGCTCAAATTTATCTTAAATAAGCTCAAATTTGAAACATAGGTTTTATTATTACATAAAGAACAAACTCTAATAATCAATTCGTCAAAACAATAACAAATCTAACAATTTCATTCTGCATCCCGGGTAATTTGTCATTATTTTCATGTTTTTCCAACAATACCAATCTTTTTTCAAGCTCTTCACTTAGGAGTGTACAAGAAAAACCGACAAACTACATCAAATCGATAATATGAGTCAAATTGGAAAAAATATCGATTAGTGATTTAGTTTAACTTGGTTTATTATTAAAAAAATCAATTATAGTTGATTTGGTTTGATTTTAACTAAAAATAAAAGTCAAACTATCCAGCCAAAACGATATCACATGTATAGAATTTTTAAAAATATTGTATACTCAAAAGTTTTTAATGTGATTTAATTTATAAATATTTCGTTTGTCAATATACAACATGATAATTTATTATGATTTTTTCATAATTCGTATACAAATAGCTAGGGTAAGCATATATAAATTTTAAATTATACAATCAGGAACTAAATTATACAAATTATGGATTTATACAATCAGGGACCAAATTATACAAATTCTGAATTTATACAATCAGAAACCGAATAGCAAAAATTCGCAATACTACAATTACAGATTAAAAATAATCAACACTTGGCTATATTACTTTATATACTCTAGATGTTTGTCATTTCGCGTAATTTTCCTATTTTAATTTCCGTCCAAGACCGCACACTTCAATTTGACAAGAAATACTAAAAAAGACATAATAAGTGCAATGCTTAAATTGCCCACACGCCACCTACAGACTGACCCAAAATAATAAATGTAACAATGAGTTAATGTTAGTCAAAATGGTCTAATGAATTTCTCTATTTGTAACAAATCTGTATTCTGGATTCTTCTGTTTGAATTTTGCCAACTGAACTTTTAAATTATCATAACATACCTGTGCGCCTTGTCCAATGACAGCTTAATAGAATTGATGGTCAAAAGTCAATCCTTAAAGTAATTTCTCAAGTATATTAGATAAAAATAGTATCAACGTGCATCACATGAACATCTCATGCATCGTATGTGCATTTTGTTCGTCTTACGTGTATCTCGTGTCAATTAGTACATAATCTATTTTTTAAAAATCACATATATATTGTTATACATTCATGTCAAGTATATATACAAGAAAAATAACAAAGAAATAGTGCAACACACAACTAATTGGCCAAGAACATTCACAACTTGTGGCATTCCAGGCTTATTGATTAGGATCTCTAACAGTGCAATGTCCAACTAATTCAACCATAATACAAGTTCTCTTTATCTATAATGAAGGCTCTAAGTTCCGGCTTCCCAGGGAAAAAGATGTCTACTCAAACTTCCCTTTGGGATAAATTCATATATATATCAAAAACATTTCATTTCCTTCAGTGGAGTAAACCAAGAGTGAAACTAATTAATGGCGATGTCAAACCTTGGAAAGAACATTTATTTCTGCCTGAAATTAATCCAATGCCTTGCAATTGATAATCGTAGATTCCATTCTCTTCACTGCAATTTGAATTTCATCTTTAGTAACACCTTTGTAAACAACTCCAAATCGATCATGATCAAGCTCATTTTCAGATGCAAAATTATTGGTTAGCCTTCGAAGATCTTGGGTTGAAATGACATGGTTTCCACTATTTGTAGTGCACATCTTGGGATCTTCTTCTAAGACAGTAGTAACTGAGTCTTCTCGCGTTTTCCTACTCTTGAAAAAAAAAGTGGCAAATACTAAGACCACAAAAACTACACTCACAGCTATAATGATAATTTTGGTAGCCGCCACAATTACTATAGCAACAAAATGGGCATATTCATATGTAATGACTTTCGCACTATTCTTGAATTTTGGCTATGGTGGATCAAAATTGTTCCCACTCACGTCCAACAAACTCGAGAATTAGAGCTCTGTTATGTTTGTTTGAACTTGACCGTGTAAACTATTTCCTTTTAAGTGAGCTTCAAGCAGTGAATCCGTGTTTGCAAGTGAAGGGCTAAGAATATCCATAAAGTTCTTGCTTTGTAGATTAACTACTATATATAACCTGACCTTTAGGGTTGCAACTGATTCCTAACGCCAAGGACATGTACATGGATCATTACCAGACTATTCCAAAGCAAGTTTGACTGGATAATTCCAACCACCAAGACGATCTAATAATATGTTAACTTGAGGAGAACAAGGAATATCGTGGGGAGTTGAATTGACAGATTTTTTTTTTTGAGGAATATATAGCATTAGAAGCTCTAAACTTTAGGATAAGACTTATTAGCGTATTATCGCTCAAGTCTAACATAGTCAAGTTTAGATATTCACCAATCCTTGTGGAATCAAACCAATGGGTTGATTTTCATTCAAACTAAGATCCTTCGTCAAGGAATTCAAATCACCAATTGTATCAAGAATTCGTCCACTAAAATCGTTGTCTTGAAGCCATTACAACATAAGTTGATGCATAGTACCAACTATATATACGTTGATTGAATCATTCAATCTAGGACTATTTTAATTACTCAACCACAAAATTCGAAGCTCTAAACCACAATTTTTTTTGGTATATTACTGTTTAAACAACTATATGACAACTTTAAAACAGTAAGAAATTAAAAGTTTTCAAAAAAATGAGGCAAGTGTCCAACTATATTGCAAGACATGCAAGAACAATTTGTAAGCTTAGCTGAATTTTGCAACTCAGATAGAAAATGGATCATTCCCCATAGAATGCCATTGAAGAAGTGCAAATTTTTCTCTCTCATTCGATATGGTGCAAGATAGAAATAAATGAACTAGGAAGGAGTTTTAATTAGTACTGTTTGTTTAGACAAATGAGTCATTATTAATGACGAATTAAGATGAAAAGAGATGATCTTATTTCATTTTTTCTATTTCCTTTCAATGGGTTTCAACTTTTTAGCTGTCAAGTATTTTAGACCGATAAAATTAATTTTATGCAATTTTAGTCTTCTTGATTATATTGTTTCTTTGAAATTAGCTTATATTCGAAGTTCATTAAAGAACTACTCTTGCCTTAGTGTGAGATAATGGGATAGTCTATGTGATTTTTGGTTTTCAAATATCTTCTTAATGTTTATCGCTGCAATATATGTTTTATATTAAAAAATTTAATTGGAGTGTTTGTATAAGAATGTTTAAAATTGATTCAAAAACTCATATTCGTGTTGATTGAAGTAATAAGACATATTAGACGCACGAGATACACATGTGGTGCACTAGA